TTAAGAAATGACTTGAAAGTCCAAATAATTGCCTAACTTCGTATTTTATTTAATCATTTTCAATACTCAGCAAATGCATCAGCCTTAGATGGATTTAGTTTGGAGTCAGAAACTCAATTTTCCCCCTTTTCTATAGGAACTTAGAGTTGATTTGTTGGCAGTTGGCCAGACTAAAAAGAAGGAGCAGAATGAATCAGCAAGCAAATCCCCCGTTCTGGGTTCAGTTTATTTGATGGTCAACATTTTCTTCTTTTTCTTATTGTTTCTTGGAAGAGATTCTCCACTGGATCTCTGAGTCATCTAGGGAAATAGACTGGCCATGAATTACGTGCATATGAATCATCCTACACCCAGGGTCCCTTGGCCAGTATACCCAAAGCACTCAGCTATCTGCCTTGGATGAGACTCGTAGCAGGTGAGCCCAGAAAGACACTCTACCCCAGGCTGGGGGCCTTGTGACTACCTGGCAGTCGGCGAGAGGGAGCCAGATGCTGGGGACCTGCAGTGCAGTGCAGTACCTGGCGGGTTCCCTCACTCCTCAGGGGGCTTCCTGGCCTTTTTAGCCAATATACACATAGATTATACCAGAAATGCCAGGCTAATGAGAACAACGTCAGCTTACAAAAAGAGATCCAAGAAGCTGGCAGATAATTTCTGATAAAACACCACTGTAATCCTTCTTCGGAGATCAGTGATGGCCTCTTTTCTCTGACCTCTTTAATAATTCCCTGAGTTTTTTTTTTTAATTGTAAAGGAAATCATATTCACTCTAGGTAATTTAGAGACTATAAAAAGCCACAAAAAAGAAAATTAAAATCACCCACAATTCTGTCACCGTAGGATGAAATACTTGATATCTGTTTCTCCAGTCTGCATTTCCGACATACATACATAATATGTGCGTATATTTGCATTGTATCAGCTGTAAATTGAAATCACAAGATACATGCCGTTTATAACCTGCATTTTTCTTTTAATGTGTTGTATTTTTCCCAAATCTTTAAAAATTCTTCAAAAACTTAATTTTAACGCCCTCCACAGAATTCATTCACTATTATACAAGGTAGTGTGATCAACATTGTTACCTGTGAATCTTCCTCCCCATCTCTGCTGTTCCCTTAGGTCCGCTGAACTTATTTTGTTCTTATTGTTTCCTTTCTTATTGTCTGACTCTGCATACTCTCATAGAAGTTTCTAAAAACCCAAAGACTTGTTACTCTGTTGCCCAGACAAGGCAACATAGTAGATATTGGATTAATACTGGTTAAGTGAGGGCCATCTGAGTCATTTCCAGGACTTAAGTCATTTCCAGAGGTGGAATTCCTGGCACACACTGTGTGCCTTTGCCACGCTCAGTTGCCTGCCGGGAATGCCGTGGAAATCCTCACTCACTGATCTGGACGGAAGTGCCTGCCTCTGGGGACACCTGCTAACATTAGGTGTCATAAGTCTTTTGGTGTGCAGACCTCCAAGTGAAAAAATTATACTTTTTTTCAATTGCAAGTAATCATGTGTTGGTCGACCATTAATTTTTTAATTAAAGCAGTTTTCCTGTTGCTTGCCAAATATCACTCTTTTGTCCGCCTTACACTAGGAAAATCTTTTTTTTTTGTCCATTTGGTCATTTGCTTTTTGCTTTTTAAGAAATGATTTTTTTGATACATAAACATTTAGAGTCTTACCAATCTACATGACCAATCTTTTTGTTGGATGTGTTGGCTTTTGTTTCTGTGTAAACACAGAAAAAAAGCTATGCCCCAAGAACAAACAGAAATTCATTGCTTTCTTTCTAGTTCCTTTATGATTTCGTACATCTAGGTTTTTAATTCATCTGGAATTTTTTTTTTGATACATGGTATTGATCTTGCTTTTTTTTTTTTTCCTGTGCTAATTGTTCCTCCAACATCTACAAAATAGCCCATTCTTTCCCCTACTTTTAAGATGCTATTTGTATCAATTGTTAAAAGCTCATCTACTCTCAGCCTCTGGGACTTAATTCTGGATAGTTTCCTCTCTGGTTTATCTCTGAGCTTTGTATTTTGTTCCATTTATCTAATTTTGTACCAGCACCAAACCATTATATTGTATTTCTATGTCTAGTAGTGCAAACCTACTGTCATTTTTCTTCCTTTTCAAAGTGTTCTTGGCTCTTGTTACCAATTTATTTTTCTAGACCAGAGGTCAGCAAGCTTTCTGAAAAGGGCCAGATAGTAAATGTTGTAGGTTCTACAGACCATATGGTGTGTCACTGCTACTCAGCTCTGCTTCTGTAGTACAAAGTAGAAGCAGACAGTAATAGACAAAACTGTGCTCCAATGCAACTCATTTATAAAACAGGCTGTGGGTTGATTTGTCCTGAAGGCCTTAGTTTGCCAACCCCTGGTCTAGATGAATTTTTGAGTCACTGTGTCAAGTCTTTCCATACTCTTCGCTCCCCTCTCACATCTATGCAAATAGCATGTGTGTGTGAGTATGTATGTGTGTATGTATATACACACTCGTAAATAGTTTCCATATATATATACATACGTGTATATATATATATATATTACATTATATATATATATATATGGAAAGAGAGGAATTTGGTTAAAATGATGTTGTACTTATAATGATGTGGGGGAAACGTGACATCTTTATAAAATAGGGTCTTTCCCTCGGACAGCATCAAGCATTTCTTTATGTCTGTCACCAAAATTGTATGGTTTCTTTCATAGAGGTCTTGGCCAATTTCTGGTTAACTTTAATCTTCGCATTGTTCGTCATTTTAGTTGTCACTGTGACTGGGATCCGTGTTGGGAATCCTATGGCCCCCCACCTATTCTGTGATTCACTAGAAGGATCACAGGACTCAGAGGCAGTTGTACTCGGGGCTTAGCAAGGAGAAAGACCCATCAGGAGAGTCAGAGGAATCTGTCTGCCTCCCAGCAGGAGCTCGCCTAGGCCCTTCTTCCCCCCACCTAAATGGCACCATCATTCTTCTGTCTCCATTTCCAGCTTTCATCTCACTTCCAGATAGTTTCCTCTTGGGTGTGCAGAATGTGCTTTGCATTCATTGGGAGAACATGTTGCAGTGCAGGGTGGCTTGCAGAGAGGCAGGCTCGCCACATTCACTGCAGTCCTAGAGTTAAGTCCCAGAGGCTGAAGCCTCTGGAATGGTTTGTCTCCTTGCTTCTTTATTGTAACTCTTCTCTGTAGTGAACCATCAGAAGTGTTCATCTTGTTCAGCTCATTCAAATCAAAGAAGCTCCTTCATTGCAGCGCAAAGAATCTTGGAAAGCCTACGGACTATGGGCAGTAAATCTCAAGCTCTTCTTAAGACAGGTTTAACATAACCTGTTGGAAGAGATTCGTTATATCTTTGAGGTTTGACCCTGCTTTTACCAGAAAGACTAAAGGAAACAAAGCTGCTTCTGCAGCTAACCCTAACCCTAACCCTAAACAGTAAGCTTCCACACACTGCGCCGTGGCTGACCTGAGAGTGCCAACACTTCATGCTGATTCTGTAATCTTCTCACTCTCTCTCAATTGCCTTTTTTTTCCTCCAGGCCTCTGGCCCCCTAGAGGCTAAGGGGCGGCTGGAATTTTTAATTGTTTCATAGCCCTGAAATTCATCCATTAAATGGCACTCCCTGGCCTTCTGTGAGTGAGGCATTTTGAATACACATAGATCTAAGTTCATTACCGTAGGTCTGACCCTGATAGAAGTGACTTGCATGAGAGCCTCCTTCCCAGTCTGTTTGGGCAGGGGCACTGCTGCAAAGGAATGAGCAGAGAGGCTCTGAGCCCCCTTCTGATGAACTCCAGGAGGGTCCAATGTTCCAGGTCCATGCCTCATGCCTTGTGTAGGGCAAGGCTGCAGAAGGGGGCGGGTAGCCATCAGGGAGACCGCCTTCCCACTCACTGGCTTGCTGGGGTCTAAAGGAGAGCCGACAAGTCTTTAACTTTCCAAACCACCTTCTCCCGGCTTATCTCAGGATTTTGTTAATCTTTTCAGGTTTCACATCTGTGTGTCTCGCCTCCTAGGATGCTTCTCGCTCTTCCAGCCAGTTCTCTTGGTCTTCATATGTTACATTAGCAGGGAGTGCCTTGGCTCCCTGCTGTTCTATTTCAGACATCTCTTGGCCCTTTTTTTTTTTTAAATTTTATTTATTTATTCATGAGAGACACACACAGAGAGAGGCAGAGACACAGGCAGAGGGAGAAGCAAGCTCCGCGCAGAAAACCTGATGAGGGACTCAATCCCCAACCCGGAATCACGTCCTGAGCTGAAGGCAGACGCTCAACCGCTGAGCCACCCAGGCGTCCCTACCCTTTTATTTCTATTCATGTTTGTATTTCAGACATATTTCTTGCTGATAGCAGGCAGGGGTGTGCTGCGTTGTATATGAAACTAGGCAGGGACCTAGCCCAGGGAAGGACAGTCAGGGCCTCTTCACATGAATGTATTATGGACTTACAAGACCTTTAAGATGTAGGTTTAGTCATGAGTTGGAGGGGGCTGTGCATGGAGAATGCTGCATCCTGGATTAGGTTTTTTCCATAAGCGCAGGCCACCCTTCTCTCCCTTCCTATCACTTTGTGGATCTGGCCATTTATCCATAGGTACTCAGGAAACACCAATTAATTTTGATATTAGCCCCAACAAAACATAATTAAGAAAGGTAAGGTAGCTCCAAAAATACTGTGTATCTGTTTCCAAAACTGCCTACCTTTCTCCTATCTTCCCATTTTTACAAATTATCCAAACCAACATCCATTATCATTAAACTGAATAATTGAGGAATACTCCAAATACAATCATGATGGCTCAAAGACTTTGCTAAGCTCTCTCACCGGTTTTTAAACATTGACTCTAAGTGGTTCCTTGATTCCAGTGGGGAAAAAAAAGAGCCTCAGTCCATTTCATGTGCCCCTGACTGGTGGGGACAATGTGACCCTAGCATAGCTCCTGCATGTGACCCCCCCCCATAACTGAATGTCCCTTGGATCTATTTCAGAGTTCCCTGAAAAGAAGAGGCAACCGAGAAACGTACAAAGAAAAGAAAACCTTTAACCAGGTAAGCAGAGGCATTGTTCTAATGTTACATCTCATGAGGGGCAGTCACTTCATTTTGAATTGTCTCAAAAGTGTTAGCATTGCCTTTAAAATATTCAAAGAAACATTACCTGCCAAAAAAATGTGGACTCATTCAAAATCTCCATAGGGTGAAAAGGTTCACTCTAAACCACCAGCTTCTCTGTTTTTGTTTCTCGCCCTGATAAGCTGGTGACTTCTTCAAGAAAGACGAGAACAAACGGACTCTGCAAAACATAATTTGATATAATTTAGGGCTCTCTGGCAGTACTCACAAATGATAAAACATATTTTGGCCTTCAGCATCATTCACACAGTAAAATAGTATGGCCTCTGTGCTGTTGGGTCATTCATAAGCTATTGTTTTAGGTATTGGGTTGGTTTTTTTTGTTTGTTTGTTTGCTTGTTTTTTAATGTGCCAGCTGAACAGTATCCTAAACTGTCCTAATTAAAAGTGAAATGGTCTCACTGGGAGATGGCACAAGCCTCACCCTTTCTGTGTACACAACTTGTGTTCTGCAGAACTTCCTGAGCTCTTCTGAACACTTGCTTTACTGGATTCCTTTCTTCTTCTTCTTCTTTTCTGAAGAAAAAAAAAAAAAGGATCTTGCTAGCATTAGGTATTGGAGAGAACAAAGGCCTGAGTGGGGTATCAGCTCCCCGAGTTCTCAGAGCAAGGAGTAATTTGATAGGCGCAAGAAGTCCCAGTAACTTGGAGTTCCACTGGCCTGCCCCGTGAACTCCACCCTCAATTGGCTTTAGTTGTGCCGTTATCCAAACTCACTGATGCCCAGCATAGCCTTCAAGGAGGGCTGGGCCATGTGAAGAAGGAAGAATGTCAAAGATTAACCTTTCCCTTTGGGCTTCTCTACTCCCCTAATCTCACTTTGACATCTACTGATAACAGGGAAACTAAAATCTGCAGGCTCTGTGCTGGGGTCTTGGACCCTCATGGGCTTCGAGTACATTTCAGCTTCTTGGCTCTTGAGCAGGGAGGATCTCCCTTAAAAGGGTAACCTCTTCCCCATTCTGGAATGACCAGCATGGCACTGCAGTCTCCTGTGGGTGACTCAGGCTGAGCAACACTCAGGAGTGTTTGTGAAATACTCCGGGCACCGGGAATGTGTTCCGCTCCCCCTCTGCCTGTACTATCATTGAGAAAGGAGTTTCTGTCCAGCAGAGTGGTGGAACCGAGCGCCTTGGAAACTGCAGGTCTACAACCAAAACTCAAAGGAAACTGGCACCCCGGCGCAAGGTAGGAATGTGCGTAGTCAGCGCTTGGGGTGCTGGCTGGACGTCAGACTTGCAAGCCAAAGAATATATACCCAGAGCGATATATTTTTGTTGCTTGACAAGGCCTTTTCCGGCTGGTGGTGGTGGTGGTGGTGGTGGTGGTGGTGGTGATGGCGATGGTCCCATGTGTGTCCTCCCTTCTGTACCATGCTTGCCTTCTCTGCCTGCAACAGGACCTGTGTGTGTGGAAAGTCTGACTGGACCTTCTGCATTGATTCTGCATTCCTGGAGCTATCTCATGATCTTTTGAAACCAGAGCTTGGTATCCTTCAGCTCAGGATTCAGCCTAGACCCTCCCCTGGAATTTGGCAGAGTGTTAGAAAGTGTGTAGTTACAAGATGGGAATCCAGCCTCCTGCTGCTCCCACTGAGGCTGTGATTCCCCATCTTCTGAGAAGGAGTAGCTCCCTGCCCCTAGAACAGGCTGAGCCTGGCTCCCCAGGCCTCCCCCTCCCACACCTGGGCAGCGCCCAGCTCCAGCCACCCAGACCAGAGTGGGCAAGTCTGACCCTTCTGCCAAATGCATACATTCCCTCGGCTTCAGAGATTGCCTTTCTTTGGAAAACTGCTTTAGCACTGGTGGCAGATCTAAGTGTCATGCATGCGTATTGAGTAGAAATGACAAGATGCTTTAATCATGTTAGAATTCCTGGTATGTGTGTGTAGTTTCTGCTTTTAAGGAACAAGACTTTCGGGATACTTTATCAGTCTTCAGGTAACCTATGCATTGGACCCTCCTTGAAGTGTGTCCTAGAATCTTGCTTCTTGAATGGACAGGGGTCTCAGTTCAAGGAGGAGGAGAACAATTCTGGTTGTAGTCAGATTTGTGGGGAGTGGTGGACAGGGGAGAGGAGATGTGAGGTTTAAGGTTTCCGGAAATGACAGTGATGTGAGAGCTCTGTGAGATTGTCTACCCTGAGCACTTGGAGCTGAGTGTTTCAGAACCGTTGGGGAAGGCCTGGGTTCCCCAGACCTCTCAGAGATCCCACCCCTTTACTCAGTTTCTGAGTTCAACTTTTAGGGGAAGACCCTCAGGAAAGATCCCCCAGGACTCCCAGATCTTGGTCTGAGACCAAAACTGCCTGATCTATGCAGGTAATGCTGCCCCTTGTCTGCCCATTTCCAACCTTCCTCCACCATACTAGGGCCTCAAGAGCTGCAGATGTCCATGGAAGTGGGGGCCGGACATTGGTCACAGTAGGTGGTCATGCCCATTCCTGGGTCTGCCCAGGCTCCAAGTGGGCAGGTGGTGGCATCCCCTTGGATCTGGTGATGTTCTCTTCCATGATACTAACTGCTGTCCACAGGCACCAAGATGAATTTCTCTGCACTTCAGGGTGGAGACAGGACCATTTAGGTGATTTGGGACAAAGAACATATGCTGGCTATCAAGTGAATTTTGGGGCCAGGAGCACCTCACTGTCTTCCCATCCTAGGCTTTTCACTCTCAAACTAATCCTTTTACATAGTGTTCACAGTCTGTCTCCACTGGGATGTATGTTTGCCCATTTAAACTCCGTTTCTTCCTGTGAACAGCAGAGACCTCTTTCTGTGTATTTGGATGCACAGATTCTTGTAAATCTATTTTTATCAAATAATTACAAGGCTGCTTTTGATCTGTTTTCGACAGTTTTAAGAAGCTGGGGTCAATTAAAAGTAATGTACCAGTTTCTGATACATAATGATTCCCGACATTCACTGAAAGAATGAATGAATCAACAAACAAACATGCAAAAAATCATGCTTTTTCCCTTAGTATTAGGATTATATACAATGTGTCTTTACAGCCACATGGCCTTTGGCTCCCAGTTGGCCTTAGATTTTTCTTCCCTGTCACGTCATTTTTGTTTCCTTCCATGGGTTTGGGCTGTAGGAGTCAGGATCTAGGCAGGATAGAAGGAGGACAGTTGGGAGACACCAAGGTGGGTATTTGTATATCTTGCTACCCAATGGGGAGCATGCAGGAAGAACATGGCAAAGAATGAGCCCTATTCCCTGAGTGTGAAAGCTGCCTAACCATTTGAGCACAAAAAATGATCTGAAAGTTCATTCTTCCCCAGAGGTGACTTGCTCAGGAGATTAGTTTGATGACTCTCCCTCCCCTGGGGCTGCTGGGGAATGGCTACCATGGACCTCATTGTTAAGTCTCTCTGGGTGATGGGGAAGCCTTTGCCAAGGACTTTGTCCTTCTGAAGCTTCTGATAGCCAATCAAAGAGGAATGATTCATGCAATCGCTCATTTTTCCCATTCACTGAATGGGACTAGTAAATACTTGTGTAAGCCCACATCAGAGTCCATATGATTCTCAGGCATTGGGATCTGCCCTGGAAAGGCAGAGTCAACTTCCCAAATGGTCCTAAATATGCCTTCAGGACCTCAGCCACATCATATGGGCTTTTAGTAGCAGAGAGTGCTTTGGTGACCCTCCAGAACCTCTAGCGATTTCAGTGAGAACCACTTCCCTGGTTTTGAAACACTTAACTCTGGCCTTGAGTTTCTGAGTTTCATCTCCCGCTATGTTGCAGCAAGTAAAGGGAGTGAAACAGAAGCAAAGGCTCTGACGTGGCCCTTGCCTGGTGAAACGTTGTCAGTAACTCAGGGGTTAGGTCTATGGTAACAGTTCATCCTAACTGAAAGAGCATGGTACTTACTCCACCTCCAAAGGCAGGTTCCAAAGCCCCTCCTGCCTTTCATCCCATGTCTGTCCTCATGTCATCCTTGTGATACACTGGAGCAGGGGAGGCCAGGGGAGGAATAGAGGTGAATTGCCATGTCTCAGGGTCTCAGAACATCTGGGCAGTGCCAGGCTCTGATCGGGGCTTCCCCGTGCTGGTAATACCAGTGGGTGGCTGGCCACTCTACATGAGGGAGGTCCACACTGTGGAGGGAGGGAGGGACAACAGGTAGAAGCAGCTACTGAAGCCTGTCTGCTATTCCAGGCTTAGTGAGGGACTCTGGTACCTCTCAGGGGCTCTGGTACCTGGTACTGGTGATTAGTCAGATTGGACCCACAAAGTGAAATGAAGGACCACTGTGTTGCCCACAGGCACTGGGCTGCATTTCATTTTCCATCCCCTTCACCCATCACCTGTATGATGGACTCCATGTACCTGTTTTTTCCAAATGCACTGTTTGGTTTCTTTGGTTTCTGTGACAAAGCAACAGATAGGCCTTTGCAGTGTTCCCTCTGTGAAGGCCTGGGCTCACCTTGGCTCTTCCTTGGCTCCTTCTACCTGTAACTCGATGCACTGATAGAAATATCATTGTTTTGTGTTTGTGTGTGTGTGTGTGTTGGGGGCGAGGTGCGAGGGAAATCATCCAAAACACGAACATTTGGTATTTTCAAATAACCCTTCTCTCGGGCTGTTCTCTCCTGGCAGGATGACAGTGCCGATTTGAAGTGCCAGCTTCAGTTTGCCAAAGAGGAAGGCTCCCTGATGCGTAAAAAGATGGCCAAGCTGGGGAAGGAGAAGGACGAGCTGGAACAGGAGCTCCAGAAGTACAAGGCCCTCTATGGGGACGTGGACAGCCCCCTCCCCACGGGGGAAGCCGGGGGGCCGCCCAGCACCAGGGAGGCTGAGCTGAAGCTGCGCTTGAAGTTGGTGGAGGAAGAGGCCAACATCTTGGGCCGAAAGATTGTGGAGCTGGAGGTGGAGAACCGAGGCCTCAAAGCAGAGATGGAGGACATGAGGCTCCAGTACGAGCGAGAGGGTACAGGCCGGGACCACATCACAGGCATTCCTACCTCACCCTTCGGTGACTCCCTGGAGTCCTCGACAGAGCTCCGCCGGCACCTGCAGTTCGTGGAGGAGGAAGCGGAGCTGCTCCGGAGGTCCATATCTGAGATCGAAGACCACAACCGGCAGCTGACCCATGAGCTGAACAAGTTCAAGTTTGAGCCTCGGCCAGAGCCAGGGTGGCTGGCGGATGGCGCGGGCAAGGGCGTGGGCAGCGGGGCCCCTCTGCAGGAGGAGCTCAAGTCGGCGCGGCTACAGATCAACGAGCTGAGTGGGAAGGTGCTGAAGCTGCAGTATGAGAACCGGGTGCTACTGTCCAATGTGCAGCGCTATGACCTGGCTGCCCACCTAGGCCTGCGTGCCCCCAGCCCCCGGGACAGCGACGCAGATAGCGACCAGGGCAAGAAGGAAAGCGACGGGGAGGAAGGCCGCCAGCCCCAGCCCAAGCGGGAGGGCCCTATTGGTGGGGAGAGCGACTCAGAGGAGATGTGCGAGAAGACGTCGGGCTTCGGCAGTGGAAAGCCATCGGAGGCGAGCGAGCCGTGTCCCGCCGAGCTCCTGCGGGCCAGGGAGGACACCGAGTGCCTGGCGAGCATAAAGCACGAGGCTGAGCGCCTGGAGCGAACAGTGGAGCGCCTCATCACGGACACCGCGGGCTTCGGGGACGATGTGGGGCTGCTGGGCAGTGGCGAGGCCTTGCCAGGGCCCGACATCCAGGGGGCGGGGGGGACAGGCGAGGGGGGCAAGAAGGAGCCCCCACTGCTGGGGACCATCAACTCGAGGATGAAGGCTTTCAGGAAGGAGCTGCAGGCCTTTCTGGAGCAGGTGAACCGAATCGGGGATGGCCTGCGGGAGCGCCTGGAAGGCCTGTCCCCCCTGCCTCACCTCACAGAGTCTTCCAGCTTTCTCTCCACCGTCACTTCCGTGTCCCGGGACTCCCCCGTCGGGAACCTGGGGAAGGAGCTGGTCCCGGACCTGCAGGTAAGGGGGCTCCTGGCTCTGCCTCCCTGCTCCGTTTTGCTCTTCCTCCTTCTTGCTGGCATTGCTGCACTTGAACTCATTCTGCTCACGGCTGCTTGGTTATGATTTCAAACCTGCATTGTACTAAAGCCTCAAGTGTCAACCAAATCCTTTCTATTGGTTGGGTTTCTTTTTTTTTTTTTTTTTTTTTAGTTTTATTTTATTTCCCTGTTTCTTTTTCCTCCCCTTCTTCTTCTTCTTTTTTTTTTTTTTTTTTTTTTTTTTTAACTGCGCCGGTGCTCTTGGCTTAGAGGCCCTCCCTCATGACACAAGGCTCACCCCAATGGAAGCGATAGGGGTCGACGCAGTCTGTCCTTTCTCCTTTTTTTTTTTTTTTTTTTTTTTGATGTCTCAAATGACCAGCTGTCTTGATGAAGAAGCCAGAGAAGTTTAAACAAAGTACAAACTCATTTCACAGTCAGGATACTTAGCAGACTCGCCCAGGAGCATTTGCATCCCTACTTGGGTTGATGGCCAAAGGGACGCAGTACAGGTCTGAAAGGCCCTAGGCAGCCACTCCCACTGGAAGATGAGCCAGAGTGGGGAGCTGGCCCCAGGAGAAAGATGGTTCTGACGGAGAAAGTCGCTGCCCTCCCCAAGCCGAGGGTGAGGGCGGAGTGGAGTGGCCTTCCAAGGACTGCTTTCCTATGCATCGCCCTTGGGTGCATGACCCAGCTGCCGCCTGGATTATGGCTTTTGCTGCTCGACCACAAGCGAGGAAGGAGGAGCCTTGTTTCCGTATCCTTCATGGGTAGTGTGCTTGCGGTGGAGTCTCCGATTCACGCATCCCCATTGCATGCGCCTCATAACCGGTGTTCCGCCTTCCTCCCCATTGTTTCCCTTTTTGCTTTTCAGACCTTTCAGCTACCATTTTGCTCATCCCCATCTGGGTTCTGTTCTTGTGGCTCTCTTTCCCGGCACTGCATCTGTTCCCGCTCTTCCCCATCCGGTGGTGGTGTCTGTGGTCTCTGTTACCCATCTTTGTTTTCTTTAGCCTCCCCTCCCTACCCCTACCCCCTTATCCTTCATTGTTTATTTAAAATTCAGAACCAAACCCAACCCAATCCCTCCCCTGCACCTAAACAGTCCAAACTGAGAGGTCAGCTGGAGTGGCAGCCGGGGCAGGAGTGCGGGGACGAGCCAGAGCAGCTGCACCGCCGCGCTGATGGGGACGTCGGGAGCTGCCGGCAGGGAGGCCAGAGCTGCTTCAGTCTAGAGGTCAGCGCCTGGCTGGTCCCATCGGCTGGCAACCCCTGCCCTGCCCTCCCATCCCTTCTTGGGCTGTGTGGCTGGCTGTGTGATGTTTCCTACCGGGGTCTGGGCCCCTCCAGGGACATGGTGGGCGGATATGCAACCAGGCGGGGCTTCACTGAAATCCAAGTCCATTGCATGCAACTGGAATGGGAGGGTCTGCTCAGGGTGAATGCGGGAGAACTGCCAGCACCCTGGGTCAGGCGACCATCGTCCTGCCTGTGGACGCCTGGACATGTAGCAAGACATAGGGGACTAACCTGTGAGTGTCCTGTAGCTTTGTGTCCAACAGTCAAGAAAACAGGTATGAAAACCAAGCATTGTCTTTGCTGGTCTGGAGGAAACTGTCCTTCCCTGTGTCTCATGTGGCCTGTCCTGTAGTTGCCAGTGACAGTGCTCCAGCCAGGGGCCAGAATCAGGGAGTGTACTCCCAGCGCTGGGGGCTCTTCAGTATTCTCTGTCACCATAGCCACCTCTTGTCAACAAAGCTCCCAGCGACCATAGAGGCCACCATAGATACTCCATCACATGAAACAGTTGTCAGCAGTCCTGGCAGTGACAAGCTCTTCCTGGCAAGTAATTCCACCCACCACAGAGAGACAGGTGTCCCTGAGGAATGAATCCCTGGCTCTGATACTGCTGGTCATGGCAGGTTATTGCAAGGATAGAGCCATGTGCCACATTCAAAAAGGTCTAGCTGAAAATTCTTAATTCATCAGTCCCCGAGGGATGTTACTGCTCAGCTCTAAGGGACCTGGTGGCTTCCAGGCAGCAGGTGTGACAAAGACACTGAAGCTCACACAGCAAAAAAAGTCAGGCATTTGACTAGGGATTGATGCTCAGGGAGGCACTTGGGGCAGAGTAGCGCCTGCACCTTTCAGCTCACCTTGTGGACAGTGCCTTGTTTTGCTGTGGGTCCTGCCGTCACAGGTGCACATGGAACTGCTGGCTTACCCAGGCCTGAATTCACAGATCTCCCATCTGGGCTTTTCCCTTGTCCTATAGGAGAGAGTAGGTCACATCTCTACCCTCATTGATTTGGGCACACAGTAACATGAAAACTACCCTCGAAAAGCTTACATAAAAACAAATGTGGGTTTGGTGACTCCTGTGTCTTACAACTCTCTGAAACTTCCACAATAAGCTCCTTCCATCAGCCTGTGCCCCACAAAGGGTCTTCATCTGAGAATGCTGGTTGCCTGAGCAGTAGCACACTCACAATTATGTACATTTCAGAAGAATTGACTTATTCATCTCCAGGATGACAGCCTCAGGAAAGCATACTTCCTAGTCTTCCATGAACACTACACTAGCTCTTTCTAGCAGGGATGCCACTCTGTGCTAGAATCAACTCTGGCATGGGCATCAGGGGCCCTGGGCTCTAGCCTAGCTCTGTCCATTACCAGCTTTGTTTCTCAAGAAAGTCTCAGCCCCTGTTTTCTCATCTTTGAAATGGGAAGAAAAATACTGTCCTATCTGCTTTATGTGATTATATGTGGATGATTCCCAGAGCCGAGGAGCCGTTGGCTGAGAAAGTAACCATGAATGATGCTGAATACTGTGTGAATTAAAGTCTGACTAATAATAAAGAGCCAAGTGTGTCCTGCCACCAAAGACTGCCAGGTGGGAAGGGGTGTCCTAGCTCTGCTCGCTATGGGTCCAATCTCCTCTGCCCACTGTAGCCCTTTCTCATTTTTCCCTGGCAGTTTCCTGATCCTATCTAAGCATGGCTCTGGCTTAACACGGCAGCCCTGTTCTCTGGGATAGCTGTTTGAGGATAGCTGCTGCTTCCTTCCCATATGGTCATCACTCAAGGCATGTCACATGTCACCTTGTTTAGCTAAACTCTGATAAAATGTTGCTTAACACTGGGGCATTGATAATTTTCCCCGTTGCCTGCTGTCTACACGCATGGCATCACGTAGCTTTGGAAACCAGCAGCTTTGGAGAGAGAAACCTAGTTGGTTGAATCAAACTGAGTGTTGTGGGAAGATACACCTCCAGAAGAGGTAGATTATCAGAGCTAGCTGGTGCCATGTGAAGACTTGGGGTCACTGCACAATGTAGCTCAGAAGGGAATGTCAGATCTTCAGGCTAATTTCCTCCATTCCGTGAACAAGAAAATGGAGGTCCGAGAGTGAGGTGGCTCGCCAGGAAACCCCTCGGGGGGGTTTGGTGGATGAGTGGTCTAGAACAGTCTTCTTGCGCCTGCTTCAGCCCTCTCCCCACCTTGCCATGAGGAGCGCTGCTCAGAAGAGCTCCATCTCCTTGAGGTCACTCAGGTCACTGACTACACATCTGGCTCTCTTGCCATGGTATGTTGCTTCCTTTGAACATCTGTTCGATTTCCTTTAATCTTACAGAGCTTGATGAGAAAATTTTAAAACTCATGGTGAAAGGCAAGCATAATTTCCTAAAAGGAATAGTATTAATCAAAGACTTAGACATCTTTTGTTCTGACTTCTTTATCCTCTAAGGCATTTCACATGGAAGACTCTCAATTACGTATGCAAACACATTATATTTTAAAATATTTTTTAAAAGATAAAACATATCCTAGGACCACTTTGATAGCTCTGTAGTTCTTCCTTTCATGAGAGGAGACCAACATAGATCCCTCATAGAGTCACAGTCTTAGAGGACCTGCTCTGTCCCTGTGGAGCATGTCCCCTGCTTAGTTTGATCTTTCAGTACTATGGTGAGTTGAAGAACTGTACAATGGACAATGCTAGAGGCAGAACTCTTAGAAGTCTTTTAATGAAAACATCCATGGATCCATTGGCCACAACTTTCCTGTGAGGCTATCATGGAAAACTATACACAGAGCTCCGGTCAGTGAGCAGAGCAGCCTGACCCAGACGCTGCTCCTGGTGAAGATTCCCACGTGGGCCTGACAGCACAGAGCACCACCAAAAGTGCAGGAAAGGTACACTTGGTCACTTGGATCTAGAATGAGGCCAAGACTGAAGCCAACATGCCTCAAGCAGTGCTCTTACTTCCTCTAACATTGTCCTTGAAATTAACTAATTGTTGGTGCAAGCCAATTACTACTACACATGTGTGAATTTCCCTTAGGTCTGTCCTTAGTTTCTTGGGGTTGGGAGCTGATAGGACACCTAGTATCAATAGCTTAAAAGAGGAAAAAAAACTTGCTGTATTTAAGCTGGAGTTTTTAAAAAGCATCAATTTCTCAAGTTCCATGTGTGAGATGCCTTCTATGCTTTTTTACCTTATAGATTTTCATATTTGGAGTAAGAGGAGAGAAGATGTCTTGTTATTTTGGGATATATGGACATTTGGGCCAGATTAAACCACTACTTCCAGTACTAGTACCACTAGCAGCGATAGCACCAAGAAGGAGAGAAAGAAAAGCCACATTGTAACACTCCAGAATTTCAGGAGATGACAAATCTGTGCAACAGAAGGCCTACTGCTCAGATAGTGTATATGCTAATCTTAGGAAGAGAGAGGATGATCCACACCCAGCACTCTTGAAACAGTTATAGGCAGAAAAAGCTGACGTCAGAATGCACTAATACCCACTAACCCATTAAATGCAAGTGTACCAAAATTAGCAGCTCAGGGGGGGTACAAAACAGACTTCAGAAGGACAGATATTTCTGGCGCCTATTCATCTCAGTAGATGTTAACTAGATTCTCCTACCATGCACCAGATTTCTTCCCTGACTTTGCTCCCTGTGGCTTTTGACAGATCTGCTAAGAGATTCTAACTTGTTAAAAGAGAGCAGTGCATAGAATGTGCAGCTTGGAATGTGCAGGGCACCTTAAAAATAGTCCTGAATGAGAAGTGGCCAAGCATGGGCACTGGTCACATTTCAGACATAAATGAAACCAAACCTGTGCCCAGAGGATTGAGTTTCTAGATCAGAAATCTCAAAGAGCTCTTTTCCCTAGCTCCTCCTTTGATCCCTTAATCAACAATGCACATGAAGCATTTGTGACTCCTCATGCCCCAGCTGTGAATATAGCAGCCACGATAAAATGACGTGGGGTTTTATGCCAAGTATGTGGACACATGTGTTGATCTCATATATGGCTTTTGGAAGAAGCAGTAACAAAACTGGCCAGAACAAAATGGAACTCACCAGAAAATGAAGTCCTGGAGATAGAAGTAGAATAGAATCCTAATATTTAAGTAGCATTGTTTATAGGGACTGTAATGAAAAACATCCCTGTTTTTGCTTGGAGGTAATGCAGGTATCTTCTTAAGTGTGGAAAGTGATCTATAAGCCACTCTCTCTGAAGATGTCCAGGAAATTAGCACTGTCAGTTGGTGTAGGACCCAACTGCGGGGAAAGCATGGGCAGTGGCTTTCAGAACACTGCCAGGGAAGGTGGTTGTGACGTCAAGGTTGGTACATCTCCATAGCCTTGGGATCAAGTTGAGGATGGTATTTGTTTCAATAGACTGACTTCGAAGAGAGGTCAATTTGTTTGATGTATAACCAGAATCTTAGGTAAGTTGGGGAAAGGATGGTTTTTTTAGAAGCAACACTTTGGGAACTTGGTGATGAAGGGAAGACTTTATTTTCTAGAGGAGATCGATGTGTCATGGGAACACTTTCTCCCCATGGATGTGGTTGGATGCAGTTATATGACAGTAAAATAATTCTGGACTGAAACTTTGACCATAGCCTGTTTGTATTTTGTTTTTTGTAACACTGGAGTGACAGCATCCCAGCTAGGAACAGTTACTTGTCTGCAGGAGTTTTAAAATTCCATTAGCAAAAATGGGCAATAAAGGAAAGTAAAACTTCTAGTAGATGAAGAGGCTCTAACAGTTCTTGTTGTTAAGCAGTCTCCGCAGATGATGCGGAGCCACTGTAGGTAAATTTGATGCCTCAGGTGAACAACTTCACAGGACTTAAGTGGTCCTTTTCTGTGACCCTTCAGATGTGGTTCTAACAGAGGGACACATTTTTAAATCAAACAATGCTGAAGTATGAG